AACCCACTAGGGGAGAAATTTTTTTTTTTTTTTTTTTTTTTTAAATTATACACGGTTATTCTCTTTAGATTTTTTTTTGGTTGCAAATTTGTTTATTTCTACCGTTTATCTCTCTTAAAATCCTTGCGTATTATCTTGTGTTAGACTCCATCTAGAAATAGAGCGTTCATTAACAGAGGGCAAGGATGACAACGAGGCAGAGTGAGGTCGCGGATTCGAGTTTTTAATTCGAGTTGAGATGTGACTTTATATGAAAGCTTTTTATTGTAGTAAAAAAGTTAAATGTGACTGTTTCTGAGAGCTTTTTACTGTAGCAAAACTCGAGTTCTAAATTTGAATCGGTGAAATGAACATGATTGACTTAAAGAAAAATTTGAAAAATGTAAGTTCACCATAATTTTTGTTTGAGATAAAAAAACTTTCATAATAGTAACCAAATTCTAAACACTTACAAACTAATTGTAACAATATAGTCAGAAAAGGTCTCATCAAAACATGTTTATAAAATAAAATGATAAATAACACATATGATAAGGATATATTTGTTTCACATGAGTTTTTAATTTGAGTTGTGTATGTAAGAGAAAAATATTATAATATAAAAGTTAAATTTAATATGAGTTGTGAAAAGAACAAATACACAAAAAGTTTGAAAAATAGAAACACATACGCAACATTCTCTTCTGTTCTTTATTCAATATATATATGCTCCAATGCTAACTAATTAACAAAATTTTGCCCCCATCCCACCTCCATTCTTTAATTATTCTCATTTCTCACCCTATTCAGGATGTGTACCAGAAAATTTTTACCATGTCCAAATTCTTTATCTAAAAAATGTAATAGCAGCTATAGTTTTTGAAAGTGAATTTCCGAAATCAAAGTGAGACAATTGTATTATGTATATCATAAGGATTAAGGATCAATAACAAAATTAACCCTATTATAAAAAATAAAAAATAAAAAATAAAACTCCATTCTCTTCAGAAAAAATACACCTACAAATGGCAACTTGGCAACAAATCAACCGACTGCAACAAACATAAAAAAAAAAAAAAAAAAGAAAAAGAAAAGGCATCTGGAAATTCTTTGAAAGAGTCGAGGCTACTTTAGTCATTTCATAATATCTTCTTCCCCACTAATAAAAGCTTTCGTTACGGGGGAGAAAAAAAAAGAAGAAAAAGAAAAGAAGACAGAAACGAGAATAAAAAAAAAAAGCCTGCAATTTTTCGGCTCCACTTTTTTGTATCTGTAATAATCCATTTTTTGGGTCTCCGATTCTGAGGAGGTGTTTCAAGCACCTCTTCGGATTTTCCTCTCCGTTTTCCGTCTCTCAATTTCTCATAATCTCTAATGGCGTCGGAGAATGTCACCGATAAAAATGCCGTTTTCAGAAAACTCAGGGCGAAATCGGAGAACAAGGTTCGATTCTATAGTTACTATTGATTTTGAATTTTTTAGATCTGATTTAGATCTGGTAATTCAGATCTCGAATCTTGAAAATTTGAAAATTTTCATGTGGCTTTTTGGTTTTGATTTTTGGTTTTAGATGTGTTTCGATTGCAACTCGAAGAACCCTACTTGGGCATCGGTTACGTATGGGATATTCCTCTGCATTGATTGCTCGGCCGTTCATCGCAGCCTCGGTGTTCATATCAGCTTCGTCAGGTAAATTTCATTTAGAGATTTAGGGGTTTTTTTTTTTTTATTTTGGGTGATTTTCATTTTTCTTTTCGCGATTTGTGTTCAAGTTTATGTTTTGATTTGATTCGTTGTCTTGACAATGTTATCTGGAAATGGATCTAATGATTTTACCTCGTATCTTTACGTGTGTCCTTATATCTAATTAGTCATTGTTTTTTTTTTATTTTGGGTGATTTTCATTTTTCTTTTCGCGATTTGTGTTCAAGTTTATGTTTTGATTTGATTCGTTGTCTTGACAATGTTATCTGGAAATGGATCTAATGATTTTACCTCGTATCTTTACGTGTGTCCTTATATCTAATTAGTCATTATATTGGGGATGTTCTGGTTTATTCATGCATTGTGTTATAAGAATTTGGAAACGTTGAGAACTCGAGATATTGTAGTGGGATGTGGATGGATTATGTAGTTATTGGATGGGACATAGTTGAAGGATTGAGAATGTGTTGAGGCTTTATAACGTTCAACAATCATGTGAAAAAGAATGCTCTGGAAGGATGGATTAAACTCGTATTGTATTTGAGTTTTTGAAAATATGTAATGGGAAGATTAACTTAACCAGCTAAGGAAGTTAATTAAAAAGAATGTCTATTTGAATTAGCTAGAAATGCATGCATCAGTCAAAAGGTGGGGAAAAGGATCATAATACATGCAGATCTATTCCTTTATATGTATGTATATTAATACACCCAGAAATCCCACTAATCCTCTTTGTGAGCCTGGGGTAGAAACTAGGGCTCTCGCCAAACCCAACAATCTTTGGAAGGCAGGAAACTTTGACTTTTGTCATGTAGGTGCCCATGAGGTCGTTCAAACCCCAGATCTTAAAACAGTCATGTAAATCGAATTTGAGATCTTTATTATAAGAGGATGATTGCCGCAATGGGTGAAAATGTGAAATAAATAACTAAAAAAGAAATTTTAAGATTTTACTCAATGAAAGAGGAATAAATGGTGTTTGGATATGGCTAATTTGAGGTGTTTCAGATCCAGTTACAAATCTTTATTTTAAGATTTTACTCAATGAAAGAGGAATAAATGGTGTTTGGATATGGTTAATTTGAGGTGTTTCAGATCCAGTTACAAATCTTTTCCAAAAAGCCCTGTTTATGACGTTTAGTCTATGGAAGAAAAAAAAAAGAAAAAGTTTCCAAGTCAAATTTATGTTTTAACTTGATTGAGTTTAAGGATAGGATACAAAGTAATGCTTAAGTATTGTAACCTTTTCTTAATTGAGTCTAAATTTTGAGGGTAGAATTTTCTTACCATTCTCTTCAGTCAAGTAATGTTGTAACTTTCAAGAAACTTTTTCTTTGTATACTGCTGGTGTGTTGAGGCTTCCCTTGGTTACAAGTTTACAGCTGGATAGGGTATCTGTTCTCTGTATTAAGATACCAACTGAAGAATTAATGAACTGGGGTGTTCTGTTTGCAATCTTCTTTGCTGCTCCTGTGTGGACCTGCATAAGATTTGTTTATCATGTTGATAGAGTAGTTGGAACTTGGAACATATATCCACTTCTCTTGGCTTAAAGGTGGCTGATTTTATTCGTTCCAGTTATTTTCTCATCTAAGCCACATATTTGCTTATGCTTTCATTTAACACCCAGTATTATGCGGCACAAGAGTGAAATCTCACCACCTTTCAATCTTACCTTTTTCACTTGTAGATCCACAAATTTAGATTCATGGTCTCCTGACCAGTTGAAAACGATGTGCTTTGGAGGAAACAATCGTGCACAGGTTTTCTTTAAGCAGCATGGGTGGACTGATGGGGGCAAAATTGAGGCCAAGTATACATCAAGAGCTGCTGATTTATACCGGCAGATACTTTCAAAAGAAGTTGCTAAAAGTATGGCAGAAGAGGTAGGCACACCGTCATTGCCTGTTGCATCCCAATCAGTGCAAGCATCAAATGGGCTTGCCAATATCAAGACCAGTGAAGCTCCAAAGGAGAACTCCTTAGGAAGACAGGAGGCACCTGAGATCTCTGCTTCACCCAAAGCTTCTAATACAGTTATTACCAGTTCTGTGAAGAAGCCTCTTGGTGCAAGGAAAACAGGAAAGACTGGGGGACTTGGAGCTCGGAAACTTACTACAAAGGTTAGGTTTATTTCTTTTAATACTTTTGACAAGCTCTCTATTGGAAGAAGTATCTTGAGAAAATGTTTTATTCAACGTGATTATCTTACAATGCAGCCAAATGAAAGTCTCTATGATCAGAAACCAGAAGAACCAGTTGTTCCAGTTGCCACGGCAAATAACAGCACTCCAGCAGCAGGATCATCTTTTGCATCCCGGTTTGAGTATGTAGAAAATGTTCAATCTGCTGAGACGAATTCTGGTGGTCCTCATGTGATTAGCCATGTGTCTCCACCAAAGTCATCAAGCTTCTTTGCAGATTTTGGTATGGACAGCGGTTTCCAAAGGAAAACTGGCTCACATTCTTCAAAAGTGCAAGTAAGCCCTTTGACCCATGCTTATAGCTGAGAAAAAGGGGACTGATACAACTTATTCCATGTACAAGCAGTTTGAGATTTACATCATAATCTTATTTAATCTGGTTTAATATTCAGGATAACAATAACATTGATTTAGTTTTTGACGTTGGAGACTTATTTTGTAGGGATTTTAGTATGATATCAATAGATTTCAATATAACCTTAAGAAAAATTTATAGAGGGGAAAGGATGGTTGACCAACTCTCGTCACTCTAATTTCTACTTTTATAAGATTTAACAGTATATTTTAACTTGAATGCCTTCATGGCCAATTAGTTATGCCAATAAGTTGCGATGATTTGATAGGATAATGAATTCTTTGGGTTCTGTATGATGCTAAACTGGATAATGAATTATTTGGGTTCTGTTCGATGCTAAACTGGATAATGAATTCTTTGGGTTCTGTTCGATGCTAAACTGGATAATGAATAGAACATGATGTTATATAATTGGTTCTGTGTTTGGTTGGATGCCACCACTAGATTGGATGTGGTGAAATATAAGTTTCCTATTAACCCCGCCCTCCCATCATCTTCAGATTGAGGAAACCGATGAAGCCAGAAAGAAGTTCTCAAATGCGAAATCGATTTCATCTGCACAATTCTTTGGAGATCAGAACAAAGCTGATGCTGATGCTCAAGTCTCCTTGCAAAAGTTTTCAGTATGTTTCCTCACCATATTCTTGTTATACGAAATCTGGATTGTAGGATACTTTTTATGTTGATCGATCGATTTGTAAAATTATGCTTTATTTTGGTTTGATAAATTTGCTTGGTACAAATAGTGCGATACGACTTTGTTAGAGTGTTTGCTGTAGTTTTAAACATAAAAATGCCTCACCAATTTCTTCACCGCCTTGCATATAGATTTTATTTTAAATGAAATCCGTGTGTTTGGATGGTACGTCTTTTCCTATGGAAGCTGAAGTAATTCTTTTATGCTCACGTAGTAGGGATGGTATTGGAGTCGATGCCCACTAGCATTATGATCTCAAACATACATTACAGGGAAAACAATGCCTAATTTGCTTTGGATTAGTACGTTATGGGCATTTTACTGAACCACAATGGAATTTCTTGGGAAAGGTGGCGGAGTTTCGAGAGGATTGTAAATGAATAAGATTATAAGAATTGTAAATGAATAAGATTGTGAGAATGAAATCAGTTCCTTTTTTAGTGTTTACTTATTCATGAGAAAGTAGAATAGGTCCTTTCTAAGTTTATTTACTAAATTTAGGAAGAGAATTTAGGAAGAGATATCTTACCAATTTAATATTTTTCAAGTACTTATAATCATCGGATAATAATATGAGAACTTATCAAGGGCATATAAGTAAAATTTAGCATTCATTCCCTTTGAACGGGAATCAATACTATAAGGGATGCAAGGATTGACATTTCATCAAACAACCATTTATAATTTTTTAAGTAAACAGGTGATTGAATGAGAAAGGAAAACACTCCTCTCTTTCCCCCTTCCACGTTAAGTGAACACACCCGGAGATAATTGTTTCATGGAATGGAATGTGATAACTGTTAGTAATGGACTTGGTAATTGATAACATGTTCTCTGTTTTATATCCAGGGGTCGACTGCCATATCTAATGCTGATCTTTTCGGTTAGTAATGGACTTGGTCATTGATAACATATTCTCTGTTTTACATCCAGGGTTCGACTGCCATATCTAGTGCTGATCTTTTCGGTCGCAGCTCGGATGATACTGCGCTTGATCTTACAGCAAGTGACCTCCTTAACCGATTGTCTTTCCAGGTATAAATTGCACGTACCAATTTGCCAAGTTTCTTCGTGCCTATACACACATACGTGTGTTTTCTTTTGGTTGCATGTATATAATCTATTTGAGTTAGTACACACTGCTCTCGGTTTGATCTTGTGATTTTTGTTTTAAAATTTTTCAAGGCACAACAGGATATCTCTTCCCTTAAAAATATGGCGGGCGAGACCGGGAAGAAGCTTAGCTCCTTGGCATCCACTTTAATGACAGATCTTCAGGACAGAATCCTGTGATTTTGATATATGCTTTATCTGCATTTCATACTCTTTCC